AGTACAGTATCCACACCGGTGCGGTGACTAACAGCCACACATCAAAACATTAGATTCATCCACGCTGAGGAGCCGTGCCGATGCACAACCCACATAAAGATGATAATGCTGCAAATAACTGCAGTTGCAGGTTTCAAACAGAGATGGCGACAGAGGCAAAACTTACAGGCTGCAGTTTTAAATCGAATCAAAGTAGTAACTTAGATTAGATTTTCTCTGTATGAGGGGAGTGAATGAACAGCACTCTCTTCCATCCTCAACGAGACCCTTGAGCAAGACACCGAATCCCCAACTGCTCCCCAGGTGCCGCAGCAAAAATGGCTGCCCACTGCTCCGGGTGTGTTTTCACGGTGTGTGTGTGTTCACTGCTGTGTGTGTGCACTTTGGATGGGATAAATGCAGAGCACGGATTCCGAGTATGGGTCACCATACTTGGCCACATGTCACGTCACTTTTCAACTACGATCTGCTCCCTTTACTAAAATGTCACGGTTCCTAAACATGATAACAAATAATATAACTTAGATAAATAATAAACACATGTCAAAACGAAAACACAGATACTTACAAGACCAAGTAGGAATGTCCTTTATCGTTTGTTGTTTGCCCGCTGCTCTCCGACAGGTAAACTTACCCAGCGGGCACCTTGATGTCAAATATTGGTCAAGATTTGATCAAGATGCTGTATTGCATCATATTAAATTCAGCTTCGATGGCAATTTCTTCAGGTGGTTAATTGGGTAAAAATAGGAAGTTATCCCACACTGAAATTGGTTTAATATATTTGTAGGCCAATATGTTTGACGTTCAGTTTACGTCAAATCAACGTCAAGTTTTAAACGTCCATTTGATGTCATATTGACATCACATTGACATCAATGAGTAGTATGTTGTTTAATTAGGATTTATGTAAATTTATGGTGTAATATGAATTTGTCGTTAGCTTGATTAAGTTTGAATAGAATTATTTTCTTAACTGAAGGCTCGAAACGCACCTTGGATTTGTGCACGGAGAGGCGTTGTATGTGGACTTGAAAACTTAAAAAAAAAAAAAAGAGAAAAAACCTTTTTGTATGTTGCTCAGGCTGAAATTGAAGGTAAACAGTGGTTTGATTATTACATTTATTAAATCTACCAAAAATACTGAATTTGTATTTTTTTTACATAAAAATATTAAAACAATTGAAAATGTATTAAAACTTCAGAAATATGCATTTTTTTATTTAATATTTTACATTTTATAGTAATTTTATTATTTTTTAAATAGACCTTTTTATAGGACAGATGTGAATAAAACAATAATCAGGTAAAATGCATATTTTCTGAACAATGGCTTCTGGCATTTGGAACATCGTTTTGACCGTCGTTGTTTAGAGTCGTTATTAAGCTAGTGCTCTCTCGTGTAAAAACAAAATTCAAAACACAACAGTGATCTCTACTAACGTTCACGTCTCGCGTTGCCAGTAGTCATGAACACAGCACTGATCTCTACTAACTCTCATGTCTTGCGTTGCCAGTAGTCATGTCTCAGTAGGGCTACAATTGCAATCTAGCGGTTGGGAATTGTAATTGCATTTTTATTTATAAATGAAAATATCAATAATATATATGTATAAATATAAATGCCGAATATCAATAATATCGTATAATGTGTATGAATGTAACATGTAACAGCTTGTGGGATGCATGACATCATATTATCAAATGCAAGTAAACTTTTGAAACTTTTAAATTAGCATTATTTTTGGCATAATAAATAATGGTATATTTAATAATGCTGCAAAATAATAAAATAAAATAATGCTAATTTAAATGTTTCAAAAGTTTACTTGCATTTGATAAGAAGCTGCATGGGCGAAAATGACATGTAAACAATTTTAAGGCTATTTTGGCTATGCTCATCGCTGGTCTGGTTACTGGTATAGGGCTATAGCCAAGCCGTTAAAATTAGACCACAGATTGCCTCGATTTCGCCAGGTGGGCTAAAAGCAGACTATACGTAGCCTGTCCAATTTAGAGCTAAATCGTGGCTACATATAGACCATGTCATGAAATGACACTTATATCTTTGTAGATATTATTGACACTGCGAACATGATAGGATATCAACCATCTCATGCGCTGCCTGGCCAAAAACTACAGTGAATCAGGTTTGACTATAAGTGGGCTACAGATAGCCGCTCTGACTACAAGCTAAACCGTGGCTACGCTCGGGCTACGTATTGAACATGTCAAAGAAATGAAACCAAACACCTTGTAAACGCTGTTGACTTTGCTTACATGATGGAATATCATACATCTCACAAGTTATTTTGCCAAAAAACGACATGTAACCAAATTCAAGGCTATTTGACGGTTGAAGGTTATTTTGATTAGAAGTGGGTTACACATAGCCGGACTATAGTTAACCGAGATGGTGAAATGACGGCTATTGCTTGCTGGGCAGTTTAACCGTTTGTAGCCTACTCAGCTGGTAGCATTTTCTTACAGCAAGTGTCAATGGCAATGTAGTTTTAAGGTGAGAACGTAGTTGTTTAAACTTCAAATTTGTGGTTTTATTTATAAAGACAGCGCCTATTTCAAAATTTGCTTCAAGGTTTTCAGAGATGTGAGCTCTAGGGCGTCAGCGGGCGTTCAGTGCTCACGAACCTGCCGAGAACAACCTTACCTCGGCCAGGTTTCATTTGTCTTTTTGTTTGTTTGTTTGTTAACAATAAAGACATACAGCAGCCGGTAAATTAGGCTGAGGTCACTTTAAGACATAATGCACAAGTCCAATATAAATATATAGTACATTTAATTCCTTTCTCAACTGTACATGTTCACTTGAGACATAACCGACTGTTTTTGAGGATAATTGCCAAAATGGGTATTTTGTAGCTATTTTCGCACCCCTACTTCAGTGATATTGCTCATATATACAAAAATTGCTCTTTATTTTTGTCTAAAACACAAGTCACTATATTAAATACTTTCACTTTTTTATAGCTTTGGTGCTGAATATTAGCATAACATCCGTTGAATCACAGCAGTGTTGAAAAGGGGAAATAATAAATACACTTTCAAAAGACGCTCTTTAAACCTAACTATGTGATGGTGTCACATACATAGACCTATCACACCTGCAAAACAATTTTTTAAAAATGATAATGACCATTTGAGCCCACAGAGGAGAAAAAAAGCATCTGCTGTGGAAGAACACTGGCTATTTATTTTCAAAAATGCTGACTCTTTTCAGATGTATTCATTAGTAATACAAATGAGCCTGTAAGCAGTCTTCACGCCAGGGTTGTACCAGCTTTACATAAAGCAATAATAGCCAGAAGAGGGCGACAACATGACACTAATTTAAAGGCAAAACCTCCTCACCCCTTTCCAAACGACTGAAATAATACGCCAAGGATAGCCTAATTCTGCGAATATAAATATAAATGAATTAACCGACCAAATGAAATGAACCACTTAAATTTTAAAGACTCCATGCTGTCAAAAAAGTTTGGTTTTAAGTAAACCAAAAGGAAACTGCTAAAAATAGCAATAAATAAAAAGAAAGAAACAGATCTTTCTATTAAAGACGTTGGACACAGAATACAACCAGGTCCAGATGAACTTCTGCTGTCCATCTTGCGTTCCCCGCGCAACAGGACGCAGACACCAGCTACATGAATGCGCACGTCAGGCCAGCCAACTGCGTGCGCGGCATTGAAACGGAGCGGGTGCGAGTCTAAAACAAACTCACTGGAGCTGAGCACTGCACACATTTGAGAAGTGGCTTCAGTGCAGACGCGCGCGTCTCTGTGCAGTCACGACTTCTTGGGGGAGAGCTGCAGGTCTTTGATAAAACGTATAGGTGATAGTTTGTTATTTTACATCCACATGGATATCAAAAGCATTCGATGAGTAGTTTACAGCGAGACTAAAATGACAGTAAACAGTGGGAGTGGATGAAATGCGCATAAAATCATGGAATTTCTGGAAGTGATGTTTTAAAACAATCCAAGACCGGCGCTGGATGACTCTTAATTTTGGATTTGATCAACAATCCCTGGATTTAACTCCAGTGACATTAAAATTTTATGAGCTGATGGAGTATTTTCATAAATCAATTCAAGTTCGTTTACCGCTCGCTTAACCCAAAAACGCTCTGTTTGAGAGGAACTGAATTAAAGCGCATCTCGCCGGTATGGTGCGTCTGCTGAATTGCCTGGTCTTGGGGTATTTGACATGGAATCTGCGGATATCTGATGCTCGAGGAGAGTACTGTCACGGCTGGCTAGACAGCAGTGGAAATTACCACGAGGGCTTTCAGTGTCCGGAGGACGGTGTCACATACATAGACCTATCACACCTGCAAAACAATTTTTTAAAAATGATAATGACCATTTGAGCCCACAGAGGAGAAAAAAAGCATCTGCTGTGGAAGAACACTGGCTATTTATTTTCAAAAATGCTGACTCTTTTCAGATGTATTCATTAGTAATACAAATGAGCCTGTAAGCAGTCTTCACGCCAGGGTTGTACCAGCTTTACATAAAGCAATAATAGCCAGAAGAGGGCGACAACATGACACTAATTTAAAGGCAAAACCTCCTCACCCCTTTCCAAACGACTGAAATAATACGCCAAGGATAGCCTAATTCTGCGAATATAAATATAAATGAATTAACCGACCAAATGAAATGAACCACTTAAATTTTAAAGACTCCATGCTGTCAAAAAAGTTTGGTTTTAAGTAAACCAAAAGGAAACTGCTAAAAATAGCAATAAATAAAAAGAAAGAAACAGATCTTTCTATTAAAGACGTTGGACACAGAATACAACCAGGTCCAGATGAACTTCTGCTGTCCATCTTGCGTTCCCCGCGCAACAGGACGCAGACACCAGCTACATGAATGCGCACGTCAGGCCAGCCAACTGCGTGCGCGGCATTGAAACGGAGCGGGTGCGAGTCTAAAACAAACTCACTGGAGCTGAGCACTGCACACATTTGAGAAGTGGCTTCAGTGCAGACGCGCGCGTCTCTGTGCAGTCACGACTTCTTGGGGGAGAGCTGCAGGTCTTTGATAAAACGTATAGGTGATAGTTTGTTATTTTACATCCACATGGATATCAAAAGCATTCGATGAGTAGTTTACAGCGAGACTAAAATGACAGTAAACAGTGGGAGTGGATGAAATGCGCATAAAATCATGGAATTTCTGGAAGTGATGTTTTAAAACAATCCAAGACCGGCGCTGGATGACTCTTAATTTTGGATTTGATCAACAATCCCTGGATTTAACTCCAGTGACATTAAAATTTTATGAGCTGATGGAGTATTTTCATAAATCAATTCAAGTTCGTTTACCGCTCGCTTAACCCAAAAACGCTCTGTTTGAGAGGAACTGAATTAAAGCGCATCTCGCCGGTATGGTGCGTCTGCTGAATTGCCTGGTCTTGGGGTATTTGACATGGAATCTGCGGATATCTGATGCTCGAGGAGAGTACTGTCACGGCTGGCTAGACAGCAGTGGAAATTACCACGAGGGCTTTCAGTGTCCGGAGGACTTTGATACGGCGGACGCGACGGTGTGCTGCGGGAGCTGCTCGCTGCGCTACTGCTGCGCGGCCCCCGACGCGCGTCTCGACCAGGGGGCCTGCACAAACGACAGAGACGTGGAGAACAACACGCAATATGCTTCCCGTAAGACACAGATTAACTCATTAATAAAAATATCTTAGACAAAAGAAGCATTTGCGTTATGTAAAAACATTCATATATATATAAAAAATATGTAAAAGTAACAAACTTTTTATTAAAAAAAGATTCATTACATGTGTATGATTCAGAGAACTGACTGAACAAATATAGCCTACTATAAAGTTTATGTTCTAGAAAAAAATGTTACTCGCAAAGTAGTTTTATCCTCTTACTGTGAATTATTTTAAAGCGTTTGTAAAAGCGAGTAGGCCTACTAGATATAACACTGAATAGGCTGAATAAACTACATGACTAGTTTAGAACAGGAATAACAAATTAAGCCATAATGACATCTGGCTGAATTACTTGTAATAGTTTACTTGTTGCCAGCAAAATGATCATATTACAGATTGTCATAACAGGATTATGTGATATTTCAGGTCTTAGTCATGAAGTGTATTACACAAAGTTTTACTCCGATAAAATACAAACAGCAATAAAGGGATTTCAGTTCGCCAGCACCTGTTGTAATGTCTGACAGAGCAGAGCAGAGGTTAACCTGACACCCCTGCACAGTCACTGGAGAAAATGTTCTCATCATTAGAACTTGTTACAACATTTTGTCACTTCTACAAGTTGCCAGATTTTCTTGTTTCCTTCATCAGAAGTTAAGTGTAGTCAGTCTCATTTCATTTAATCATAATAAAGTAAATCTCAACAGTGTCATGTAATCTTAAAAGAGTAGCCTGTATGTTCACAAACATATAGTTTAATACTATAATAGCAGTTGATGTTTTACGAAGAAATCCTGATGATGCCAAAAAAGAAATGTACAGTAGGTCACCACTGTAAGTCTAATTACCTTCAAGCACAGACTAAATATTCTTAAATCAGAATATTTTTATACAGGATTCATTAATGGTTTTGATAATCTGTTTGACCTAATTATCATTATTCCTCATTCCACCTAGATCTCAGCTATATATAAGTATATAGGATAAGTTAAGTAGTTGCATTTATTGTGAAATCATTTGTTTATGTTGGTTACTAATAATCAAAACAGTTTCTTTGTCTTAATATAATTAAGCATTCAGTTTACACAGGATTCCAAACACATTTGAGTGTGTTTTTCAACCATAGCCTCAAGCAAACAGTGGCAATGTGTGTTCTGAGCATGTAAAACAAAGCTCTTGCCAATTTAAATATTGAAAAGATATTATTTTGAATTCATTACAATGTAAAATAAGCAGTAGAGGTTCAGATAAGGAAAAAAGTTCAAATGTATAGTAATTATTTGTGATGTTCTTTGTGCTTTTGAAATAACTATTCCCTATTAAATAACCCTTTAATTAACAATTACTGAAATAACAACTCTCACACATTATCAGTAAATAAAAAAGTTAAAATAATAATTTACAAGACTGTAATAAGATGATCTAAATATTAAGAACAGTTATTGTCATGAAATATGTTAAACCTACTTGTACACTATTAAAAATAAATGTTCTTTATTGGCGTCTATGCTTCCAGGAAGAACCATGGAAGATAGTTGATGTTAAACATCCATGGAAACCTTGCCATTACACAAAAGGTTCTTCAGTGAATAAAGGTTCTTTAGATTATTACAATGTTCTTTACTTAAAAAAAAGAAGATTATTTTAAGAACTGTTCACTTAAAGATTCTTTGGAGGACCAACATTTGTTCTTCTATGGCACAGCTTTTGGTCCTTTTATTAAAAAAAAAAAAAAAAAAAAGTAAACTGAGGAAGATTAGTTTCTCTAACCTCCCGTGCTGTTTCTCTCTTTCACAGAGCCCATCTACGTGCCCTTCCTGATGGTGGGCTCCATCTTCGTGGCGTTTGTAGTGGTGGGTTCTCTGGTGGCCGTGTACTGCTGCACTTGCCTGCGACCCAAGCAGCCCACACAGCAGCCCATCCGCTTCTCACTGCGCAGTCAGGGTGAAACCATTCCCATGATCCTCACCACAGCCCCTCCCAGCCTGCGCACGCCGTCACGCCAGTCCAGCTCGGCCACCACCAGCTCCAGCTCGGCGGGAGGAGGCAGCTCCGTCCGGCGCTTCTCCCTGGGCCGGGGTGACGGGCTGGGACAGTGCTCGCAGCAGCAGCAGCTCCTGATGGTCTCATCTTCCACGGCCTCCTCTCCTGTGTCCGTGGCTCCGGCGCAGCCACTTTTGCCTCCACCTCCTCCACCGCCCTACACCTCCCAGCAGGGCAGTAACTCTCTCCAGATACAGCTGCACCACCAGACCCTGCAAAGCTCCGGCTTCCTCCTGCCACAACAGTACTTCTTTCCCCTGCCGCAGGAACCGTTCTCCACAAACAAGGGCTTTGCCGACTTCAGCCAGAGCTGACCTGGGGTTCCCTGCTCAAAAGGAAACGGTCACCAAAGAATGTGTCGTTGTTGTAGACTCGTATTACAGGGGCTCCCGCACTAGTGTATCTTTCAGCAAGCTGGATTGGCACTTGTGAGACGGCAGCTGGAATTTAAGAGCCACGTGGGCTGCTAAAGCTGGTGAGATAGTGAACTATCAATCTGACAGACACTCAAGTGCTGGATACAACATGGAAGCCTAAATCTACAACTGATCGTATCTCATATGCACTTTCAATCTGCTTATTTGATGAAAGACGTCTAATTTTTTTTTTTAAAGTCCAGCTGGTCAGTGACACTCCACTGAACATTTAGCCTCTGTATTTGAGATAATTTGATATATAGATGGACAGAATATTACATGACAATCTCAATCCTATTTTAGGGGTCCTGCACTCAAATGGTGCCATGTATGAATGAGGGTTTTATAGAAATTATCTTATTTTTCCAATGGGTCAGAGATTGAAGGTTTAGTTCACAGATTGAGACAAAAACTGTTCATGTTTAAAACAGGCATTATTCTTGCTCATAGACTATGTCACATAAGGAACAGGTTAACATCATACGAATGTACAGCTACCTTTGGGAAAACCTCTGTTTTTAACGTTTGGAGAGCATTCATTCTTCAATTTTGTATAATTTGTAGCAATCTGAAAGCCATTATTGGCTTAGTTTCAGATTACATTAGCAACACAGTTTGTTGTATTTGATATGAGACATTTTGTAAATGATCAGGTGTATCTAAATGTACAGAGCAGCTGGAAGCACATCATGTGACGAGACGGCCGTCAAATAAGTATTACAGTCTCTAACCAACAGTGTTTTTGAGCTATATGAAATGGTTTTATCTTCCACTTATCTTAGTTGGTCTCATCACTCTTGAACGACAGTAATGCATCAGATATAATAAGAATGAAAGAACATTCAAGAAACTGTATGACATCAGGTTCCATTTTAGAACAGGCTGACTGAGAATATGTGACATTCCAGTTATCCTGTTACCCAAGAAGGGAAAGCTTGTTTTAACCTATGGACTAATTCTTTCTAGGGACACAGCCGTGGATACATTTACATCAAGTGTGGCCAACATAAATAAACGGCTGTTATTAAAATATGGAACAGATAACAACTCTATTAATGTCACTGACCAACAGAACAGTCAGAATGATAAATCTAAACTATAGGGGATGTCATCTATTTGACGTGTCTCCACCTTTTCCTGTTTAGATTGATATCGCATCCTGTTTAATGCCACACACGATGACCAGCTTCAACATCATTTGTATTTCCACAATGAAAGCAAAATTCTATACAATGCAACAATCACAGAAAATACTTGATGCTTAATATACATACACTACTGTTCAGTTTGTGGTAAAAACATTTTCTGAAAGAAATTAACACTTTTATTCAGTAAGGATGCTTTAAATTGCTCCAAAGTGATCAAGTGGTCAAGACATTTATAATGTTACAAAAAATTTTTTTAAATAAATGCTGTTTTTAAAAAAAAAAAACGTTCTATTATTTAAAGAATCCTGAAAAATGTATCATAGTTTTCACAAAAATATTAAGACAACAAATTGTTTCATAAGAATGATGTTTACGGCAGACTGGTTTGCATGAAATATTTCACAGCGGACACGGAAGATTTCACAATCTCCACAGAAACCAAGCGATAAAAAAAAAAGTTTTCAAAAGTTTGTTGAATACACTGGGTGCTGAGCCAGAGTTTGCTCATGATGAAACTCTATAAACAGATTTTGGTGGCTGTAAACAAGACTCAAGAATCATTTTAACACCCTAACTGCTCTTTAAAGAGGATTAGCAGTACACATATTCTGAAGAAGTGCATATTAGCAAGTGCTGTGCAGGTGGTGAAACACTAAAAGCCGTTTTAAAAGAAGACATGAAATCCAATGCATTAAGTGTTAACTGTCTTTTTAAGTCATAAACATTTTAGTGGCCAGAAACAGAGATTTATACATGCAGGGAAGGTTTTGCTAAAGTATAATTGAATGCTTGTGTAACAAAACAAAAGCTAGAAATGCATTAGTCTAGACAGGAAATAAGCTCTTGGAAATTTATGGTATGGAAACAAAACCGATTATTGCCAAATCATGATTCTGTGTTCACTGAAAGCCCAATGGAGAGTCTCCACACAATACAAACGATCAGTGATTCTCCTGATGCCTGCTACAATACTGTTCTAACACTACTAGTGTATATCTTGGACAACCTTGAGGTTTCATCAGGAGGATATAATTAACAGAATGCAACAAAAAATGAGAGAAATCACCAAAGAAGAGCTTCAGTTGGAAAGTTTATTTCAGTAGTCTTTCATGGCAGTTAAGACAAAACACTTAAAAGTTCGCAGTTCCAACATGCTAAACAATCATTTAACAAAAAGATCCGAAAGAAAAAAATAAAACACCCAATAGAGAATTTGAAACCATTTAAAAGTGCATTTTCATTCTTTAAAGTGACCAACACTAGAGGGAGATTCAGCGTACAATTAACATTTAGGCTAAACCAAGAACCACTTTTCCATTAATGCAATCAGTCACTTTGACAGATGGGGTTTTAGAAAGCAACAGTCCAAGCCTTTAACCAACATCCCTTCATATTTCCAGCGTTCGAGTCGAATGACGGCCCACAACGTCAACGATCGGTCAAAAGCACAGCTTAAGGAACGAAATGCACAGTAGCTACAAATGTATTCTTTCCACGTTAAATAAAACACGTTTCAGCTGGAAGAAGAAGAGTTACAGTGAGATCCGAAACTAAAATGAAGAACATGTACGGTACATATCCATCCAGATAAATAACACTGCAACTGATATGAACTAGATAAGAGAATATTCATCACATAAAAGTTAAGAGTGCATTGTGCAACATCTCTGGTCAAGCTTTAGCAGAGCTTCATACAAACCGAGACATACAGACACATGTGACACACACACACTTACACCTGCACACACCTGCTGATGTACAGGGCCATGCATCGGCATATAGCTCACCGTTAGTATACCTGGAGTCGTGCAGACGAACGAAACGAGCAGCGGCACACAACCGGACAACACAGAGGACGTCACACACGCATCCTCATTCGAGTCTCTCAGGCTGCTTTAATATAGTTAAACAGACATGCATACCGACGGGATCACGAACACTCACGCAGTCACGCACGCATCCGAAATGTAGCTCACATGCACATGCAGACGACACACACTGCGCAGATGCACTATACAAAACGTGCTCTCCCACAGGGAGAAGAAAACCAACGCACAAACTCCATCAAATAAAGAAGCGTTAATAAGACAGTTGTAGTCACTTAAGCTTCTGAAGGGGAACCACAAAAAAGAGGGACGACATTTTCATTACAATGCAGATCAGTCCAAAAAGTCACACTTAGACCAATATAAAAATACAAATTCACTAAATAACTATAGAGACAAAGTTGTATCGATACTGTGTGGGTCTGGCAAAAATCCTCCGTTCCTCCCCTATGCTAATGGCACTTATGTTTGAGAAATTGACACTCTGTTCCAAGTCAAATAAACATCATGGTGAACGTCTGATCGTCTAAAAGAGTTTCGCACGAGCCCCTTACGATGAGCCGAACGCATAAACAGGGCCGAGGTTCAATGTGTGGCTTAAAAAGCTCTCATTTTGCCCGTGTAGCAGCCTGATACATCATTATTTTGGTCTAATGTGTAAGCGTGCGGTAACGCTGCCTAGCTAGAGACTCTGAAATACTATCTCACTGGGGAAAAAATTCCTGTTAGGCACCTTTGTGATCATTGCAGCCGTGTAAGACGTGGAATGCAGAAACGTGTTCAAAAAAGCTGTTGAAATGTTGCCAAATTGTTAAAAAAAAAAAAGGTAGATACATGCAAGCTAACATCTGAAGAACCAGGCACGATAAACTGACTGATCAAAACTAAATCAAAAAACAAAACTTAAAACTAAATACAAAACGAAAACTAAACAAAAGTTAAAATACAACAAACTAAATACAAAACTAAAAACATACCAAGTAATGGCTGAAGGCAACAACAAATATAAGGCTTTGATAGCTTAGAATTTAACATGAACAATAATAAAATAAAAATCAAGGGTAAAGTTGTCAAATAGATGCAGAAAGCATCTGAGGCGTGTAAAAACACTTAATTATAATTTCTAAATATTGTTTTTAAAATAGGGACTGCATTTCTAATATTCTTGGGAACTTCATTTCTAGTTATCTGGCATGCGTCCTGTTTTCTGATGCAAATAAAATACATATGTGATATAAAAACAAAAGGGAGTGCTTCATGTGCCATTAATGATTAGGAAGTCACAGTCAAAGACCATTACCACAAATGTTTCTCAACACCTTTATCACCACCCTCATCAACAGCACATATTTGGCTGTAACACTCATAGCCGAAGGAATGGCGGAGGAAAGAGGGGAGCCAATTCTTTTTGCTGTTCTCCTCTGTTTGACAGACCAGAAACCATGCTGACCGCAGGCTGGGCAAAAATATACTAGCACAGTGCTCGTGTCTGCTGTTGGAACATACAACTACAACACAGCAGAACTTGATTTTTTTCCCTCTCTCTCGTACTGCTTCATTTTTCGTATCCATTGTTGCCCCGGGTGCCCTAGGCTGGCCAAAGTTAAACTGACAGGCTTCAGCTCTCTGTCAGCCTTTAAAAAGTTGAGTGACCGCTGAGAGGGGGCGGGGCCCAGCGAGCCAGATCTCACCACTCACTGGTCCGTTGCTTGGTGGTGTCATAGGCTCTGATGACCTCAGACTGGGAGAGCACTCCGTTCTCATCCTGTGAGAATGCGTAGCCGTCTGTAAACAGGACCCAGAAACACGCATCAGATAAATACACTCAACTCAAAAACATACTGCTGGCAAACTTACAAGACAAGTGATACAAATTAAATCAGATAAAAACATGAACATGCAATGAGATGGGGAAAAAAATGCTAATTTAGCCTTTTCTTAACTCATCACCAGGGTGTACACTTTGAAAAATAAATAAAGATGATTTAAATCTGAAGGAAAATAATGTTTGCAAATATTACTAACAGTACCGAAAGTACCATTCTCATATTTTTGAGAAAAAATGCACAAGACAAATAAATAAAAATAATGTAAATCCTTTACATTTCTAAACAATATTATGTAAAATTACATTATGCATGCATTACGTAAATTATACTGTATATACCATTAATAGTATAATAATAAAAATAGACAATTATATTTTATTATAAATAAATATTTATGGTCATAAATAAATATATATTTGCTCAGCAAGAAAAAAATGTGGGAATATTGTCCGTAAACTCAAAAGAGGATTAAAGACTGTCTGGATTATTCTGTTGTTGGGAGTCTAATTGGGGGTTTAATAAGCCCTTACAATGACCTACATACACTAATGGGACCAAAATGTCTGAAAATATTTGTAGTGGTCCAAATTAAAAGAGGTCTTTTGTTTTGTCTGCAGAAAGACGCAGCAAAAAGACATCAGTATGCACAACATCCTGACTGCCTGCTTCCAGAAATAAACAAAAAAATTCAAATCGGTCTCAGAGGGGACCTTGAGAAACCGGCCATGGCAGTGTGGGTGGGCTGGCTGGGACGATCGGGGTAGTCAATAGTAATTATCTTGGCAGACTCTAAATGGAAGCTGGCAGGAAATAAGACACTGAGTGTTGTAATGTCAGATTATTGATTCTACCTGGAAAAATCAACTACTCTTTCTAAAAAAAAAAAAAGAAGAAGAAGAAATGTGGCTCATTACATCAAATATAGCTATTGAAGTCTACTAGAAAAAAAGGTCTTCTCCTTTGATTTGGACTCTAAGTCTATTCAAATTCTAGTTATTTTAATATTAAAGATCTCGCTCATACTGGCGCTATGGTCTCTACAGCACTGCACACTGGGATTGGCCCTTTGATCTACGACTCACCTTATGTCTCAACCGACTCGACCTCTACCTGCTGGCCTGAGGGGGCACATGCAAGAGGCCGAGGAGGGCAATGCATGGTGGGAACGACAGCGGGACATTGAAATGATTAAATATGACTCTGCCTGTCAATCAAAACACAGCAGCACAGCAGCACATGCACAGGTGGGGAATGGGAAGGACATGATGGACAATGCAGGTTTAATTATGGTGTTAATATGTATTGTGTTTGTAAGGCAACTGCATTAATATTTAGTGGTATGAGCTAAGGGGTAAGAATGCATATAACATCAGACTATCACTGAACGTCCCCCATCCTCACCTAAAAGCAAACACAAAAATAGAGCAAATAAAGAGAGGTAACGAACAGAAAATAAAAAGAAATGTAAATGTTAAACTATAAGGAAAAATGAAAAGACAATGGTTCTCAACTGGTTATGCTTCAAGAGCCAGATTTTTACAGCTTTTACAAACGTATAAAAGAAAAATGATGACAAAAGAAAAATTGTTAAAAAATATATCCAAAATATAATTATAAATAAAATATATTTTTTTCTAAACAAAAATTCAATGATTATTTAATAAAATACATTTAATAAATTATGTAAAAAAAAGAATGGTAATTTTAAATAGTTTATAATTTTTTAATGAATTTGTATAATTTTATAATTTATTTTTATAAATATTTTATATAAATAATATATATAAAATGGATTTTTCTGTCCTTACTTAGCTGCATTTTGCATTTGTTTTCAGCAACCTCAATCAGACCTGTAGCTCACCAGTTGAAAACCACTGAAAGGAAGCACATGAAAACTGGAAGTGTAGTATAACAGCATATCCAGGAAGGAAATGTTAGTAATTTGATAAGACTGTGTATGTGTGTGTGTGTGTGAACTCTGTGACTGTACATATTACGACCTCATGAATGAGCTTTAATAAGTCAATTTTGGACTGCGATATCCTCAACAAAATTCTCCTGATTTAATGCGGAAGGCCAAGTTATTCCCTGATAAAACATGAGATTTGAGTCGCCGTGCCCAAAAAACAGCTGCCTGAAAAGGAACCCTATGACCGGTGCCATCTCAGTCTAACTTGAGCTTTGTTAATGCAGCTGTTGCTTTCGAGTGATATTATGACTACATTAGTTACTATCTGCAGCTGTCAAGAACAACCATCCTCACCTAATTTTCATGGGTTTTGGTTCAGATTTGTACATCTGTGAGTGTCTGCAGTTGCACATCCATAAGCCCTTGCGTGTGAGAGTGAACCTGCATTTTGATGCTGCAGATGGGGATGGTAGGGTGTGTGTGCATCAGTGATTCTGCATGAGTCTGTCTGTGATGTCTGCACTGTGGAGAACATGTAGGTGTGTCTGCGTCTGTGTGCCTGTGAGTGGCGAAGCTCATGTGTGTCGCTGACGTACGGAGTAAATTCTGCTGCATGGAGTCGGACCGGTACAGACTGACGGTGCTCTTCTTAAAGACGTTCTTCAGGAGCTGGGCTCTCTCGGTCAAACTACAGGGAAGGACACAAAGAGGAACAGTACTGAGACACAGACAAAAATGGACGTCTCTTTTCTCTTCCTGCAGAAGAGCGATCAAATTAAAGACAAACTTCCTGCTGGACAGATGTGTCTCCAGTGAGAGGTTGAGGAGACAGAATGAGACCGGAGCCGGGAGAGCAGCCAGTAGGATCATTTACACTTGGAGGTGATCCCTGCTGATCCGCTGTTTTTGCTTGTTCTGTTTTATTATGAATTCACGAGCAACGGCCCTCACCTCTTCCCATGCACCACAGCTCCTGGGTCTTTCGACAGCGCCTCCAACTCCTGTACCTCATCAACCAGGGTCTTAAAGCACACCCTTTTCATACTGAAACACAGGGGGTAAAAAACAAACAAACAAACAAACAAAAAAGTAAAAAGTCAAAACTGTGACAAAGATGGAAAAAAAAGCCCTCAAGGTGGAAAAAATGCATATAAGAATGCATGTAATGTCAGACTATCACTGAACATCCCGTATTGTGCCAATACGTGCCACAAATGTTTGTTTAATAAAATGTGATAAATGCATACAAAAGCTGGATTTTTAGAAGTTACAGTTTACAGTAATAAGTGTTTGTTACACAAAAGTAAACAAAAAGACTTACAAATTATAAATATTTAAAATAATAATAATAAATATGTATTTTTCCAAAACAAAATTAAATATTTAATACAAAGTATTTAATATATTTGTTCTTTATTATGATTATTATAATTTTTAAGTAATAAATATTGTTTTATTATTAGAGTTTTCATTAAAAAATTATAAAAATATTTTCATTTATTCTGAAGTCTGTGCCCTAAAAGTAAAAAAACAAAAACAAACAAATATTATAATAAACAAATAAACAAATGTTTATTTAATAAAACGTGATAAATACATTTTTAATACAGCTGTAATAGCTGTTACAGCTTTTGTACAGTTACAGCTTACAGTAATAATTGTTTGTTAAACAAAAATAATTATATTTATAATAATAATAATAATAATAAAAAAAAATTATAATTATAATAATAATAATAAAAAAATATGTATTAAAAAAAGTTTAATGCAAAGTATTTCATATATTTGTTCTTTATTATGATTATTATAATTTATAATTAAACAATAATTATTATTGTTTGATTATTACAGTTTTTTGTATTAAAAATAATTATAAAACATGATTTTCATTATTTATGTATTTTTATAGTATTTGCCTTTGTTATTCACTTTATTTAAACAATTAATTTAAATTTTTTTGGTTTCAGGTTTCTTGTTCAAACATTTGCATAATGTCAAACTGACTTGAAAAGGTTATTCTTTGGCTTAACACAATGTTCATTTTGAAAGAACATGTCAAGTAGCAGGATAGGGAAATAATTTTTTTTAATAAAATGATATTTTATGATATTTCTTTTAGCAAGATGAGAATATAAGGAGATTTGTTAATGTTTAATGTTCTATTATGTTGCTATTTAAGTTTCTGTCACTTTGGTATCAAGCGTGTGCTTGGGTAATAATGACATGCTAAAAGGAATTTATGCTGATATAATTAAAAAAGCAACTATAATGGGAGAACTGGATGTAATCAGTACCATCTTCAAACTGCCAAAATCTAACATCATATGTGTAAAGAAAAGTTAGATTTAACTTGCTATGTTATTGTAACACTTTGACTGAACTTAATTTAATCATGGACAGTGGTTCCACATGATGGAAACATGTTATTTAATACTTACAATGAACTAAAGTGAACTGAGTAAACAACTAAAATTAGACATGTCCAAATAACTTGATTAGTTTGTATCCAAATAATTTGCTTAAATTGTGTGGAACCACTCTCCATGATTGAATCATGTCCAGCCAAAAAGTTATTTTTTGAGTGTAGCAAGCAATTTAAATTATATATCAATACTTTTAAACTATTTTTTATACTCTTTTTAAACAAACGGTATACATGACACAAACCTCTGGTGACCACAGAGAAAGATAAGGTCAAGGTTTAATGGCTGGTACTGAAAAATCTCAACTTACACTTTGTAGGCCACATCAAACACCAGAGAGGTGATGGGAATGAAGATCAGACCCATCCAGAAGACTCCTGAACTGAACATCATGTCCGCCTGGAAATCAGACACACACACACACACACACACGCACGCACG